CAAGAGATATATAAGTGTAGCTTCATTTATCCTTTTTGTATTTGTGTTTTGTTAGTGCTGTCATAAGTTTTATACTTTCATGTCTGTTTAAACCACACAAGTCATTGTTATAATTATTATTATTGTTTAAAGATATTTATTTATTCATGAGAGACACACAGGGAGAGAGAGGCAGAGACCTAGGCAGAGGGAGAAATAGGCTCCTCGCAGGGAGCCTGATGTGGGACTCGATCCCTGAACCCGAGATCACACCCTGAACCAAAGGCAGATAGATGCTCAACTCCTGAGCCACCCAGGCATCCCTTTAATTATTTTAATTAATATTAATGTATATTCATCTAAATAGTTACCTTTTCATTTCTATTAAATCTTCTAGTTCTGTGCTTCCATCTGAGATTGTTGTCTTTTAACTTGATGAATTCCCTTCATTTGTAACAAGTTCTCTGAGCTTTTGTTTATCTGAAACTTACTAACTCATCTTCATATTAGAGGATATTTTTTCTTGTAGAACTCTAGATTGTTTGGTTTATTTTCTTGTTTTGACATTATTTTAAAGATACCATTTTATTGCCTTCCATTTCTAATGTTTCTGATAAAAAAAAAAATGGTTGTTAGTCTTATTGTCCTTGCCCTGTGTCTTACTTTTTTTGGCTACTTTTAAGATTTTCTGACTTTGACTTGGGTATGGTTTTCTTCATATTCTGCTGAGGTTTATAGAACTTGACATGTTTACTTGAGAGACTAATGTCTCGTGTTAGCTTTGGAAAATTTTTGACTAGTGTTTTTCAAATATTGCCTATGTTTCATTTTCTCTACTTTTCTAACTCTAGTTAGATGTGTGTTAGACCTTTGTAGCATGTTGTACTTGTCTTTATGTTTTGGGGGGGCCTTTATTCTCTCCTTTATATCTCTTGTTGTATCATCTTTTGTGTACATTTCTTCCAGTTTTACCCGTCTTCTGTTTTACTGTTTGTAAATTAGTGAGTTCTTAATTTCATTGACTATATATTCCAGTTCTGGAATTTCCATTTTACTCTTTCAAGAATTCTAGGATTTTGCTAAAATTGTCCATCTATCCTATCCTTTTTTTGGGGGGGGGCTTTTGAATGTATCAGTTATTTTAACGTTTCTCAGATAGTTCCAAACTATGAATGACCTATATGTCTTTTTCTATGTTCTCTTTGTTATTCATCCATTTTTTTTAATTTGAGAAAAAAATTCATATAACATGAAATTCACCATATTAACCTTTTAAAGTATACAATTCAGTGGTTTTTAGTAAAGTCACGGTGTTATGTGACCATCACCACTATTCCAAAACATTTCTGTCAACTCAAAAAGAGATCTCATAATTATTGACACTCAGTCCCAGTTTTTCGTCTACTCACCCCCTGGCAACGTCTGATTAGTTTACATTCATAGTCTCTGGATTTATGTCTTCTGGATATTTCATATAAATGGAATTATATGATGTGTGGCCTTTTGAGTCTGATTTCTTATTTTTTTTAAAGATTTATTTATTTATTTATTTATTTATTTATTTATTTATTTATGAGAGAGAGAGAGAGAGAGAGAGAGAGAGAGAGAGAGAGAGAGGGGCAGAGGGAGAAGCAGGCTCCATGCTGGGAGCCCGACGTGGGACTCGATCCCCGGACCCCAGGATCACACCCTGGGCCAAAGGCAGGCACTAAACCGCTGAGCCACCCAGGGATCCTCGAGTCTGATTTCTTTAACCTAGCGTAGTGTTTTCAAGATTCATCTGTGTTGTAGTATGTATCAGTACTTCATTTCATTTTGTGGCTGAATAATGTTCTGTTGTATGGATATTTTTACTTAGCCATCAGTTGATGGACATTTGAAATTTTTTTCTATTTTTTGACTATGATGAATAATACTACTGTGAATATTTGTGTGCAAGTTTTGTGTGAACACATGTCTTCAGTTCTCTTGGGTCTGTACCAGAAGTGGAATTGCTCTGTCATATGGTAACTCTATGTTTAACTTTCTGAGGAACTGCCAAATTGTTTTCCACAGTGGCTGTACCCCTTACAATCCTGCCAGCACGTAGGAGAGTTTCATTTTCTCCACATTCTTGCCAATCTTTGTTACTTTCTGTAATTTTTTCTTTTTTAAATTATTATAGTCTTCCTAATGAGGGTTGGCCATTTTTTCTTTTTTAGAATGCCTTGTAATTCTTCATTGAACAATTGTAGGGGCTGTATTCGGTGTTATTTTCCTCCAGAGAGTTAAGTTTTCCTTTGGAAGGTGAAGTGCTAGATTACCTTGAGTACTGAGTGCCAACTATAAAATTTGTTAGGGCTGATAGATTTCCATTTCGACCTTAATTTAAGGAGGGCCTTTTTGAAGTCTCAACAGAGAGCTTGAGTTGCTTATGAAGGCCTTTCTAACATCGTAGAGGTTATACTCCAGTCTTTGTTGCTCTAGCACTGGGCAGAAGTTGAAATAGTCCACTCAGCTCTTTAGCCTCCTAACTGCTATTTATGCTAGTTTTTTTTCTTTTTGAATTTTCATTCTTTTTATGATTCTTTTACTCTGGGACTTTATTCTTTAGTTTTTAGCTTTCTGATAGCCCAGAACTCTTCTTCTTAATCCATTTGGGCTGCCACCTCTGCTTGGACTCTTATTTTCCTGTTACACAACAAAGTCAAGGAAAAAGCAAAGGTGCTTATGGAGCTGATCTTCTGTGCTTCCCTTCTTTCAAGAGTTGTAGCCTTTCCTTGTTTCTCTCTGTATATTGCTCTTCAGTGTCTTCAAACAGTTTTTACATTGTCTAGATTTTATTACTTTTATTAGCAGGAAGATTAGTTTGATACAAGCTACTCTCATGATGGGAGCCATGAATACTGATGTTCATTAAATGCATCACAAGAAAATGAAAAAACTGGTATCTTTTGACAGCGAGAACGTAAATTTTCAGCAGAAAATTTGGACAAGAATATAAAAAGAGGGATTTTTATTTTCAAACGAGAGGGTCAAAGTCAGCTATGTTTCTAGCATAGTAAAAGATCATTTCCAAGTAAGATACGTGACACTGAGTTGATATTTGGCAATTTAAAGAAAAAACAAAACTGAAGGAAGTCATTAAGTGTTTAAAGAATCCAAAGTGGGTGAAGAATTTAAAATGATAATTGAAGGTGTGCCTGAGTGTTCAGTTGGTTAGGTGTCTTGCCTTTGGCTCAGGTCATGGTCTCAGGGTCCTGAGATTGAGTCCCATATCGGGCTCTGCTTGGTCAGGAGCCTGCTTCTCCCTCTCCCTCTGCAGCTGCCCCTGCTTGTGCTCTTGTTCTCTCAAATAAATAAATAAGATCTTAAAAAAATAAAATGAGAATTGAAGTATCTAATAAAGAACAATTATTTTCTGAGTTTAATAGTGAAGAAACCAGGACCATGAATTTTATTTATTTATTTATTTATTTATTTATTTATTTATTTATTTATTTATTTTTAAGATTTTATTATTAGAGGGTACAAGCTCGTGAACATGAGTGGGAGGAGGGGCAAAGGGAGGGGTAGAAACAGACTCACTGCTGAGCCGAGAGCCTAATCCAGTACTTGATCTCAGGACTTTGGGATTAAGACCTGAGGTGAAGGCAGCCACTTAACTGACTGAGCCACCCAGATGTGCTAAGACTGTGAATTTTAATTAATTAATTGGTTAATTTTAAAGATTTTATTTATTTGAAAGAGCGAGCACAAGAAGGAGGAGGGTCAGAGGGAGAAGCAGATTCTCTGCTGAGCAGGGAGCCTGATGTGGGGCTCAATTCCAGGATCCCGGGATCATGATGTGAGCTGAAGGCAGGCACTTAACCAGCTGAGCCACCCAGGCGCCCCAAAAATATGAATTTTAAATGGGAACTATTAGAGTAGTTAGGTTATTTGTATCAATGTTAGTGATTATTAAATGGTTGGAGATTTGAATATTTGCATGTGATGGCTATAAGACAGTGTTTATCTGTTAAGGGTGCCAGAGAGGACTGTGTTCACAAAATCTTGATAGTACAGAAGTGGTAAGTAACTAGCCATGTAAAAATGTGGGAGGAAGATAATGACTAAAATGATAAGAGTGGACGTTAGGTTTTTAGAATAAGGAGAAATAGAGAAGGCAGAAATAGATGTGTAAAGAATATAGCTCCTTCTCCTGTAGGCTTAAAAATGAGGATTGGAAAGAACTAACCATTTGCTTTCTTCACCAAAATATCCCTAAGAAGAGCCAGGTGTTGCAGACCACCTTCTATCTGTGTTTTTCCTTTCGCCCTTTTGTGAACTCTCAAGGTTAGTCAGTGATTTTCTTCACACTTTCATTAGGAAATTTGCCAAAGGCATCCTTTTGAGGCAGCTGTCTCTGTACCCTTGGAGGCCATCAGTAATGTTTCCCATCTATAGGAGTCGTCGGCACAAAAACGTTGGACTGAACTGAGTCTTCATGGTTTAAAACATTCCCTTGCCAAAATTGCTTTATTTCCTCTCGAACAGTAGTACATTGTATATCACATTTTGGAGCTTCTGATCCTTTTATGGTTTTTTGTTATTGCATCTTTTCAGATATAATATACATCATTAATAATAAATATATTTAAATATAAATAATGAAAAGAGACCTAAGTTTTAAAACATAATTTAAATAACAATAGACACATTAAAATATGTGTATAGACATGTTATATATAAATAAATGTGAATTTTTGTATAAAATGTTAAAAAAATTATTTTCACTATTGAGATTTTGTAAAATCAAATATACTTTAGTTGTGGTCTTTTGGTCTGAGGTTGTCAGATGATTTCTTCATACTAAGATAAGTTTTGGGGGCGTATTAAATTTGATGTAAATAATTAGTCCGTGATTAAAATTCATTAGAATAAGTTGAAATGCTTTTGTATTTTTGTTCCTATTCAGTTTAATAATACAGGCAACTGTTATATGCATCTTTAATATATTAGCCTAACTGTTTCTCTTGTTTTACTAAACTGTCTTCTTTCAGCCACCCACACAGAATATGCCTATGGGTCCTGGAGGGATGAATCAGAGCGGCCCTCCCCCACCTCCACGCTCTCACAACATGCCTTCAGATGGAATGGTAGGTGGGGGTCCTCCTGCACCACACATGCAGAACCAGATGAACGGCCAGATGCCTGGTAAGTTTTTCTCCTCTAAGACATTAACACCGGAGTTGCTTAGCAACTGAAACGACATGGGGGCTCAAGGGATACTAGATTGTTGATGACAAAACTGCTTTGAATGCCCCCGAGTACAAGCTCTCTTAGAGTTTGTTAGCTACAGAGCTACGTGACCTGTATTCAGTGTTTATCAGGCTGCCCTTGGGCTTTGATGTAGCTGACACACAGCATTCCTCTGATGAACAGAACTGGCTAAATTTAGTCTGTCTGAAACTATGCAATACAGCTGGCTTTAGAAGCTTTTTGGAAAAAAAGGCATTGTGCCATGACTTAAGAATTAAAATCTCTTTATAGATTATAGGGGTATGATAACATTTCCTTGGGTTTTGTATTTAAAAAATTTACTGGTCTCAGAAACAACATTGCTGGAAAAAACAGGGGGAAAGGAAAGAAAATCTGGTAAGTGCCAGTGTGTTTAGTATTTCCTCATTGATACTATTGAAGCTGAGAGTAGATTTTTATGAATACATATGTTTACAGTATATTATAAATATGCAAGTTGACATTAAAGCAGAGTTAAAAGAAGAAAAAAAATGTCAGATGTTTTATATAGTGAGATATTCCCTTTACTATTCATCCTCTTTTAAGTTTGGAGCCACCTAGAATATTTTCCGGGCAAATGAATGCTTAATTAGTTACTTTTTGCTGGTTTGAATTTTTAAACTGAAAAGTATCTTTAAACTTTTTTTTTTTTTTTTTTTTTTTTGTGATAGCTACAACCCATACCCATAAATTTTGGTTGTTTTTCTGCATTTAATTTGAGAATAGTTTTATTTTCTAAAGACAGAGGCTAGCGCAGCCCAGGTGGCTCAGCGGTTTACTGCTGCCTTCAGCCCAGGGCCTGATCCTGGAGACCCAGGATCGAGTCCCACATCGGGCTCCTGCATGGAGCCTGCTTCTCCCTCTGCCTGTGTCTCTGCCTCTCTCTCTCCCTCTCTGTGTCTCGAATGAATAAATAAATAAATAAAAATCTTAAAAAAAAAAAAAAAGACAGAGGCTATTTTCATTAACAAAAATAGAATATTATACAAATAGCAATAATGAAATAATTTTTTTATGAAAGTAAATTAAAATAAAGCAGTTCATTTTTAAAATTAGTAATTAGCATCCTTAGGATATTCTTGTCATAGCTGATTGTGTTGGTTGATAGCATTGGTGTCTGGGGACAATGGGTACAGTAAATGATGTAAAGGAGAACACAGGGCAAAAGGAGCCAGGTAGCCTGGTTTATAGAAGATTGATGTGTGATTGATCATGTAGGAGGGTGGTGCCGTTTCGGTGGCAGCCTTCTATTTCTTGCTGAGGCCTACCACAATCTGTGGCCCCCACAACATGCACCCTGTGTGGGAGTAGGAATAAAGTTGTAACTACTTGTTAGGTTGTAGTCAGGAAGACACTTCTTGCTGAATTCACATTTACCTCATCAGGACCTCTTGTTTTTAGAACTGGAAGGGTGCTAATGCACATTAGCAAGTTAGGTGTTTTTTATTTTTTTATGGTAGTACTGTTAATTAGAATTTTAACGTAAGTTCTCCATGTAACATTCAAGATTAAGGCCAAAGGAGCACTTGAGCAGCAATGTAATCATTGTTAACATGACATTTGGGTTTTTGTATAAGGCCATCTGGAATAGTTATATCCTTTATAAACTAGAGATTTTCAACTGGTTATGACCTACATTGTCTAGAATACTATAGAGCTTCCAAAACAACTTTCTTATAAAGAATTCTAGTTAGGTGTAGGAAAAATTGAAGTCCAGTTACTTATGTTTCCTTTATTTAATGAGCCCCTCATTAGAGCTTAGCCAGTGTTTTTATAAACACAAATTTGTATCTAGGCTTTTAATTTCCTATTTTAGTTTTGTTTTTCAATACTTTATAATCTAAGTTGTAGAGCTACTTCTGTGCTCCTTGATCTTGGTCAAATGGCCTTAGTTTCAGGTTCTTTTTTAAAAACATTTGGCTGATTTAAAAAATAGTACTAAAAAATCTTCGGTACCAAAGTCAAAAGGTACCAAAGCCATCTCCTCCAAATACTTTGTTCCAGAGAGTCGTTGGTGTCTAGTTTATCCTTCAAGATATATTCTCAGTATCCAGAACATATGCATAACACTTTTTCTTTTGTCTTATTCTTTTAAAAAACAATCGGTAGCATACATTTTGTAGTATTATATGTAGAATTTTTCCCTCTTGAAGATATATCTTAGAGACCATGAGTATATAGAGATGTATTTTGGAGACCATTCAGTACATGAAGAGCTGCCTCGTGCCTTTGGCTGTATTCATTCTTTTTTGCTGATGCCCCTAACTTATTTGAACAGTTCCCTTAGAAGGAAATACAGATTATCTCCAGTCTTCTGGTACTAAAAATTATGCTTCTGTGAATATGCCTATAAAATAAAGGTAAATAAGTAAATGAGTAAATAAACATGCATATGCAGTTTAGCATTTATGCCTATGTGTGCACAAAGACCTGTATATTTATAGAACTGCGGTTGGCTGGGTTAAAGGTATATGCCTTTTAAAATATGGTATTATTATGGCTAAATTGCTCTACTTAAAAATAGTCCTTATTTATATATTTATATACCTCAACAATGTATGAAATTGCTTTTCGTCGTAGATCAAAACTTCAGGTCTTTGAAATCTGAAAGATGAGAAAAGAGTCTCATAGTTTTAACTGGCCTTTTTATTGTAAGTGAAGCAAGCAGTCCTCTCATGTTTATGTCCCTTTGGTAGTTTTTGTGTGAACTGATTATTCGTGTCATTTGCCATTTCTTTTATTGCTGGTGGTCTTTTACTTACTTTATACATTAAGCAATTAGTTCTATCTGTGATAGGTCTTGTTAATAATTTTTCCCCAGTTTTTCTTTTTGTTATTTTGTTTAGTTTGGTCTGATTTGGTCATATTGAAATTTTTTATTTTTATGTAGTTTAGTTTATCAGTCTTTTATGGCTCTGGGTTTTCTGGCATATAATAGAAGACCCTTTTGCTTCGAGATTATTTTGAAAGTTCTCCTTTTTAAAATCTTTTGTAAAGGTTTTTTTTTTCTTTTTTCTTTTGTAATGCTTAATTTTTTTTTTTTTTTTAATTTATGATAGAGAGAGAGAGAAAGGCAGAGACATAGGCAGAGGGAGAAGCAGGCTCCATGCACTGGGAGCCCGACGTGGGATTTGATCCCGGGTCTCCGGGATCACACCCTGGGCCAAAGGCAGGCGCCAAACCGCTGCGCCACCCAGGGATCCCGTAATCCTTAATTTTTTTATTCATCTGGAACAATTGGTAGAAGGAATGTGGTAGGCCATTTTCCAGATGACTACTTACTGGTCACACTATTGAATTGTCTTTGTTTTGCCTACAGATGTTTAATTTCACCACTATTATATTTTACAAAATTAGAAATTTGGGTGTGTTTTTAGACTCTCCTCTGGGTCCATTGATCTGTTAATTCATTTATGTGCTAATACTACCTACTTTAAATTGCTCCAGATTTTATATGTTTTTTTCATCATTGCTTTTCTCTTTTAGAATGTTGCTGGCTTCTAAAAGCATCGGTTTCTTAATCTGTAAAATGGGAATAGCATCTACCTCACAATATTTGCTATCATTCATGTAAAGCATTTACTTTGTTTGCTATTGATTAAATACTCAAGTTATTGTTTGGTATTATTATTATGGTATGCAAAAAAATTAAAAGCTTTTTAAAGTTTTTAATAGACCATTTGTTTAACTTTCTTATTTGATTCTGACCACTTTTCTTCAAAGGGCCTAACCATATGCCTATTCAGGGACCTGGACCCAGTCAACTGAATATGACAAACAGTTCCATGAACATGCCTTCAAGTAGCCATGGATCCATGGGAGGTTACAACCATTCTGTGCCATCATCACAGAGCATGCCAGTACAGAATCAGATGACAATGAGTCAAGGGCAACCAATAGGAAGCTATGGCCCCAGACCAAATATGAACATGCAACCAAACCAAGGTAAACAAACTTGATGTCATTCTTTGTTTTAAAGGTTTTTAAAAATTATTATTAAAGATTTTATTTATTTGAGAGAGAACATGAGCAGGAGAAGGGGCAGAGGGACAAGCAGGCTCCCCGCTAAGCAGGGAGCCCCATGCATGGGGCTCCAACTGGGGCTTAATGCGGGACTTTATCCCAGGACCCTGAGATCATGACTAGTGCTGAAGTAAGATGCTTAACCAACTGACCCACCCAGGTGTCCCTGATGTCATTCATTTTATTTATTTATTTTTAAAGATTTTATTCATTTATTCATGAGAGACACAGAGAGAGAGAGAGAGAAAGGCAGGAGACATAGGCAGAGGGAGAAGCAGGCTCCATGCAGGGAGTCCGACGTGGGACTCGATCCCGGGACTCCAGGAGCAAACCCTGGGCCAAAGGCAGACACTCAACCGCTGAGCCACCCAGGTGTCTCAAAATATTTATTTATATGAGAGAATGTGGTTGTGGGCGGGGGAGGGGCAAGCAAACTCCCCAGTCAGTAGGGAGCTGGACTTGGGGTGATCCCAGAACTCTGGGATCATGACTTGAGCCAAAGGCAAACACTTAACCAACTGAGCCCCCCAGGTGCCCAGCCCATTATGTCATTCTTGACAGAATGCTATCCTTTAAAAATAAAACCTTTGTTTCAAGTTTGTAGCTGATTCATGAAGATACAGTTTGAAGTAGCAACCATATCCATAAAAAAGGAACATTGAGTTTGAAACTAGTTTAAAATAATTTTTTTTACACTTAGAAGTTAATTTGCCTAATTAAGCCTTTAAAGATTATTTTATCTTTACATCTTTTGGACGGTTTATTTGAGATTTTTGGATTTTGATTTTAAACATTTTTATTTCAAGCTAATAAATGAATAACCACAAGCATTTGGTTTAGAGCTAGAAAATAATTTTATCTTTGCAAGTACAACACTGTAAAAAACCTTTATTCTGTAGTTTATTTTACTTATTAAGGATATATTTATATGAATTTCCCTCAATTTTTATGAATGTTTTCTGATGTTGTATTTTAGCATTAAGAAGTAATTTTAACATAATTTGTTTATTAGAGTGTTCAGTGGAAATGCTGCTGTATTCTTCTATTATAAGTCTATTAAAGTTTACTACCATTCTCAGAGAATGAAATTATTATCATGTTTCTTTTTTTAAGTATTCTTGTAGATAATAACTAAAAACCAGTAAGTGGCGCTCTGTTCTATTAATTGCCCTTTAAAATATTTGGCGTATTGCCAGCCTACAGCTATTTCAGTTACAAAATGTGAGGTTAATGCAATAAAATTTTCTAGATTTTGACTTTGAAAAACAAATCACCAAAGCACACCCAGATAAAGGAAGTTAAGGTTAACCTGTTGATAATTATTTATGGTGAAATAATATATTTTAATATTTAAAGAGTAATACAGAATTTTTATAATTTTGATGAGATACACTGAAAACAAAGAGAGACAGTAGAATAAGTTGTCAGGGTAGCCTCACAAAACTGACGCTTTCTCCATTTTTTTTTCCTCAAATTTGTTTAGTGCCCATGATGAAATTTCTTTTTTTTTTTAAATTAGGGCAATTAAAGGTTCAAAATAACAGCAAGATCCATTCATTGCCGGGTCAAAAGGGGAGTCCAAATGTTTCTCCATACAATTTGGTTAACAGGAGAGAGAGCAAGAAAATTGGTAGATTTCACAGTAACTACAGTAATGATGGCACCCTGCTTAGAAACTATAATTAAAAAAAGGGTAGAGTTTGCACAAGAATGGATGTTGCTGTAGAATGGGTTGATATGACATTATAAGATCTGAAGAACAAAAAAATAGTGCATGCAGCAATATGTATGTAGAAAGTAGTAACTTTTTGGAGAAAGTAATTGAGGTGTTTATAAGAATTATTTGTTCTAAACTTAGGAACCAACTATTCTTTTTTAAAATGTCATATTTTGTATTTGTGTTATTAATGTACAGTTTTTCTTTTTACTCTAGTAGTCAGTGCTTTTTGCTTTGTGTAATCTGTGAATTTTTTTTTTTAAGATTTTATTTATTTATTCATGAGAGACACAGAGAGAGAGGCAGAGACATAGAGGGAGAAACAGGCTCCCTGCAAGGAACCTGATGTGGAACTTGATCCTGGACTCTGGGATCACACCCTGAGCCGAAGGTAGATGCTCAACCACTGAGCCACCCAGGCATCCCAATCTGTGAATTTCTTAATAGTCCTTTTCTCTATACTTTACTTTCTATGTAGAGATCTGATATAAAGAAATAAAAGTTACTTTTCAGAAAAGAATAGGATGGAAATTGGTGAGGAACTTCTCAATATTTAAAAAATCTCTTCAGGACAAATAACTTTGCAGTTAAATTTTGATATTTCACATACAAAGAACACTAAAAAATTACAATTGCACAAAAGAAAGATATTTGAGGTTATAGCAATATTTACTTTTTTAATCCTGGAAGTTCCTTGTACAGATATTTTATCTGTTGGATGAAAAAAAATTTGAATATGAGTTTTATTTAAAGTTTTAATATTCATTTCATTTAAAACATTTTCTTTGGGGGGGGCTGGATGACCCAGTTGATTGTTTACGCATCTGACTGTCAGTTTTGGACTGTCAGTCCAATTTCAGGGTCATGAGATCCAGGAGCCGCCTCCACATGCCCCCCCCCACTGCCCCCTTGGGCTCTGCACTCAGCTCAGAGTTCGCTTGTGTTTCTCTCTGCCTTTCTCTCTTTTGTGCATTTTCTAGCTCTCTCAAATAAATTTTTATTTTTTATTTTTATTTATTTTTATTTTTTAATTTTATTTATTTATTATTTTTTAAGTAAATCTTTAAAAAAATTGTTTTCTTAGGTAGCTTTAAAAATAAGCTACATGTTTTGCATTTAAAGTTTTCTGTTCTGGGCACCCCCGGTGGCGCAGTGGTTTAGCGCCGCCTGCAGCCCGAGGTCTGATCCTGGAGACCCAGGATCGAGTCCCGCGTCAGGCTCCATGCATGGAGCCCGCTTCTCCCTCTACCTGTGTCTCTGCCTCTCAGTCTCTCTCTCTCTCTGAATAAATAAATTAAAAAAAAAAACTTATTTAAAAATAAATAAATAAAGTTTTCTGTTCTTAGGCTCTCTGCTCAGCAGGGAGTCTGCTTGAGATTCTACCCCCACTCCCCTGACCCCCTCTCTAACATAAAATAAATAACTGTTGGTCATTTTCTCTATGTACTCTTAGAGGATCTACTCTATATTTTCTTAGAGAGTCTACTGCTTCCATGAAAGGTTTAGGAATTGTTTCTTATACTGTTGGCAAAATGTTGTAAATAGTTCATCCAACTTAAACTTTCTTGTGTTCTTTTCACTACTTTTCAGATAAAAGTTCAGGGATTATCACTTTGAAATTTAAGACTTGTTCAAAGTGAATGACCATTTTCTTAAATAATTGGATCTGTTTGGATCCCTCCAGGATCATGCCCTGAACCACAGGCAGGCGCTAAACTGCTGAGCCACCCAGGGATCCCCCCTCATGCTACTTTTAGATGCTGTCAGTGATTTGGTCACTGTATCTATCATTTTATGGGCATATAGCAGAGTATGTAATTGTGTTGCTTCCTTGGCTCCCAGTTATCAACCTATGTGGTATTTTACAAAAGTTAAAAGTGTAGCAGGGAAATGAGAAGTAATACTGCTAAAAATGAAATCCAAATCCTTTGTAAATAGAGTTAGAGAAGAAATTGCTGACTGGGAATGTTGACACTGCTGCCATTTGAGAGACTCTAGATGTGTACTTGCAGGTACTTAGTGAAGGTGAACTCACTGACATAACATGAGAAAACAGGTTGTGATGAAAAGAACAAAGATGTCCCAGAGAGGGATGCCTGGGTGGCTCAGCAGTTTGCCACCTGCCTTGTGCTCAGGGTGTGATCCCGGATTCCTAGGATCGAGTCCCACATCAGGCTCCTGCAGGGAGTCTGCTTCTCCCTCTGCCTGTGTCTCTGCCTCTCTCTCTGTGTCGCTTATGAATAAATAAATGAAATCTTAAAAAAAAAAAAAGTCCCAGAGAAAAACTAAAGCCAGCAAAATACTTCATATTAAAAGTTTTGGAGACATTTCATAACACTGAAAGTACAAAGGATAAAATGCTGGAAGCTGATCCATACTTAGAAAGGAAGATGACAGTTGGCCAAGCTATAGAAAAGTTACTAACTCCAAGAATTTAGCCAACTGCAGAGTTTTGGGGAATGGTTCCTAAGACTGGCCTTACTTCTGACATCAATCGCAAGTTCTGAGATTCCCAAAAGCACCTTCAGGGTCAGTAATTCATTGAATATAGCTCACAGAACTCACTGAAAATTGTTGATCCCACAGTTATGATTTATTATGGTGAAAGGATAGAGATTCATGTTAGCCAAGGGGAAAAGTGCATAGGGAAAAGTACAGAAGAGGCACCATATGTGGAGTTTCTCTGTCCATGGGAGTCAGGATGCTCTCCTGGTCCCAGTGTGTAACAAACCAAGGGTGTTCCCCTGAGCCTCCATGCTGAGTTTATAGTGGTGCTCCACTGTGTAGATCTGATTGATTGTCCAAATTACTAATCTTAGACTGTAATATGGAGTCCTTCTGGGCATGACCAGAAGCCCTCACTCGGGTTCAGGAGCTATAGGAATCCCCAATTTAATAAATACAGTAAATCTTCAATATGGAAGAATATTATAATACTATTTTTCTCCTTTCAAGTACAACATAGAAAGTTTACAAATGAAATTATTTCAAATATTTTATTTCATTGAAATGTGTTTGACTTCTAGTCGATTTGAATGAGAATTGTGTATATACTCCTCTCTGTAAAATTGGCAAATCTATGTAATATTGCTAATATTGCAGGTTTCTGCTACAGCTTTAGGTATATACAGTCATTATAGTTAGGATTAGATATTTTGTTTATAAATTGATCATTGCTGCATTGAATGAGTTTTTCAAGGTTGTA